TGGGGAAAAGAATCCATTTGGTTTTGGCTGATAAGATTTACTTTAACAAAGTTAATCTGCTTCCTTTTGATTCTACATTTAATTTTGGTTTCAACTTTTAAATTATGTTATCATTACAAACAAAATCCCTCAAAATGAAAAGTCATTTCAAAATAAAAAATCAAAACGCAACATCTAACATCACTGGAACTTAGGTGCTCTTTTTCTTCCACAATAAATTCCTAGCAAGCTTTATGAATTACTCTAATATCATCAGTCTCAATCTTATTGGACAGGAAGTGCCCTCATTTGCTGTCTCTGCAATATGGCAAGAAATTAATTTGGGCTTGTTTCAAGTGTCTGTACTAGAACTGGTGCAAATATAATAACGATAGGAAAGAGGGGTTAAGAACAAGGAAGCAAAACCAGAGAAGACTCAAAAATCAAGATTAAGCTAACAAGGCCATGCGGTTAGACAGTGATGACAGGAGAAATTTATCTGAGACACGTAGGCAGTTAATGGCATGGGAGGAAACCATAGGAGGTACTCACAGATTTCTTATCTATTACTAAGGTCGAAAGCAAGCAGCTTAAATTACATGAACATACTTTAAAACTGGAATGAAGTTTTCAGCATTTTAAATTTTGTAATACAGCAGATTCTGGGACAGTGAGATTTTGTGGCTGATAGCTGGCCAGCTGGAAGTCTGATCAGGCTGGATGGAGATCTCTTTATTGAAATAAATGATGAGTAATAGAGAGAGGTTTCTATTTCTGACTGATAAGCCTTCATGTACATGTGCAAGCATGGAGCTGAATTTGTTGTACTAAAATATAACACTGGATCTAAACAAAGACCTCCTTCCCAGAATGCCCTGAGTGGTCTCAACACTTTTAAAGCAGGGTTATTTTCAGTTTCTGGATGACAGTGTTCTGTTTAGAATAGTGATATGCAGAAATACATTTTTCTACCTAACAGAATAATTTTGAATACCCATAACAAGGTATGCACTACTGTTCATTGGTTTGGTCATTTTAGCCTCATATGCATCTGTTCTATAGCTAGATTGCATTAAAGAACTAAGAATTCTCGGCTGGGCCAGTTGTAAGAAATAGTTTTCCAAGACAGACATTCTCTCATCATCCTTGCCAAATAAATCCTAATGGCAGTTGAGCAGTGGATTACTGAGGACTTGCCTATTTGGGCAGCAGGAGGGCAGTTTCAAAATTAGATTTTAGAGACAGACCCATTTGTCTTTCACTTCTTATGCATATTTTATTTGCCATGTGTGCTAACTGAAGAACTAACATTTATGTTTAATAACATAAGAAGTGCTGCACTGGGTCAGACCATTGGTTCTATCCCAGTATCCTAGGCTAATACAGGCACAGAGGGGAAGAGCATTAATGCAAGATGTTTTCAGACTTCTCTGTCCCCTCCCCCTCTTCCCTTACAGCTGCTAGTATTTAGAGACCTAGGAGGCACATCTACATGTGATAGTAAGGCAGCTGAATAAACTCTGGCACAGTTTACACTGGAGTTTATTGCTCCCGGAAGCAGCATCTTCATGTGCGCCTGGAATCGCAGCACACTGAGCCGGCTGGCAGAGGGCTTGAGGGGTCAGCCTGCCAGCCAGGGCTGCTCCCCACCAGCTCAACGTGCTGTGGAGGGGCTTGACTGGGGCATGAGGATGTTAGTGTGGGGCTAGCCTCTAGGCAGCCCCCACACTATAACACCTTCATGCCCCAGCCAGCCTGGTCCCCATCTACGTGAGTGTTGCAGCTGAGTGAAGTACTCCGCTCACTTATATCTGACAGTACTATCTTGTGGAGGAGTTAGTTTACTAATAGCACTGCTTGTATAGACTATGACATTTTACTGTGGAGCTAATTAGTCAATTATGCAGTATACGTCTCTTGTGTAGATGTGCCCAGGGAGTTCTACATCAGAAGTTTCAGCTCTACCACCGCATTTGTTACTCAAAGGTGGACCTATCCTACATGTATTTGTCTTATCCTCTTTTTGATTTTGGTAAAATTATTGGTTTGTTGTGTCAATGAGTTCCTCAAGTTAATTATAGGCCATTTTAAATGCAGATTCCCTCTTTTCCCTCTAGTCCTGTTATTTCCTCTTGCTGTGATACACAGCACTGGGGTAATCTCCACAGTACAAGGAGAAATACAGGTCTTGCTGAAACCCAAGATCCCATGTCTCTTGCCTTTGGCAGAGTATCCATGTTCTCTATTTCAGATTTTCCCGAGTATCAAAGTTGCTTGGGGAAAAGCTCCCCAAGCATAATGGCCTTTATAACTTCATCACCTAAATATCTTAGGTGAAATTAGCTAATGAAGACCATTTGGGGATATAGCTAGTCATTTTTAGCACCATAATCTTTTCTGAATCATCCATGAGAATGGTAATATCTTAAAGCTTTCCTTGATCACCTCTCTGTGACTGAGTAACTCCATCTGCTCATACTGGAACTAGCATAAATGTCTGGTTTGTTTGCCAGACACCCTGAGTGAGCTGTGCTGCTGGACTGCAAACCCAGACCAGTCCAAAATAAATCAGCAAATACAAACATCAGACTTTGGGTTGTTCTTAATGTTGGGCTTTAATCCACATTAATACTGATGGGTAAAATAGGTTTTTAATCCCTGCAAACTGGAAGTCCTATAGATATAGCTCTATTTTTCACATGGCTGATATGGGATTGTAGTCATGACTGGGAAGGGACCTAACACTATTGCAATATGGAAAGGTATCAGATGTGATGTTTTAATGTAAATTTCTGTGGCTTCTACATCACTGAAGACAGAGAGAACATACACCAGGAAGCGCAAGTCCTTAGGTCTTCATTGCACAAGTCCTGGGGAAAGACTGCAGTGCTGAATACTTTAACTAAAAAGGCCTTCCAGGTGGGGATGAAAAGCTATCAGATCTTAAAAGCTGATTGAGTGTTCAGCATGAGTTGTTGGGGGTTTTTTTTAATTCATTAGTTTCAGAGCAGTATTAGTTTTGAACCATGTAAATAATGTATGTTATAACAAGACTAGGGTGAAGCCACAAAGCACTGAGGATGCTCTTTGCCTTCAGAAGTTTTCAGAATCATGCTGCAGTGGTTTGCTGACAAGTTTGTGTTGAGCTTTCCTTTCATCTCCCTACAGCACCAGAATGAGCATGACTGTTTTGTGATAGGCTTCCAGAGCTAATCCCATAGTCTGGATGCAGGCAAAATTGCTACTGAAAACCCTCCACTTTTAATCACTTCCCATTAATTTTATTAAAATAGAATCTCTACTCATTTCTTCCTGACTTGAATGAGTGCCGTTTCTGTAGACAGCCAGGATAGGACCTAGCTCCCCAGGTTCTAAGGAGAGCCTTGGTAAGGAAGGAAGCTTGCTTGCAGAAATTCATTGTGTTTTTCAGTGCTGGAAGCATACTGGCACTGTGTGCAGGGGCACCATGCCCCCTGGCTCCCAGCATGGCCCTCCTTAGGCTTGTGGAAGTAAGAACGTTCCCATTTTGGGATGGTTTCCCATCTCCTCCTTGTGGTGTGTGGTACTGCCAGCAGCCAGCCTATCCTCATTCCCTCCCCCAGCACACATCTATGCTCAGGGAGTGCAAGCAGCTCTCATTAGAGCTGTGTTCTGTACTGGAGTGCTGGAGGAGAGGAAGGTGCTCCCTGCACTCCTAGTTCATGCAGGGCAGCCATCAATCAGCAATCTGATGCCATTGGGGCTGGAGGGGGCGCTTTTCTGGCCCTAGCCTGGAGGCTCTTCCCACCAAAGAGATACAAATTTCCTTACCATTTAAGGCACTGCTAAGGCAGGTTCACCAGGAAATCATCTCTGCATTGTTTGCTGTTTTGTTCTTGTTAGGAAAGGACTCCCAAGATTAGCACAACCTTTGCAGACAAGTGGCAGCTTGTGATGCTCCTCCCCCTTGGAGCTGGGCTCTGAATGCATAAATGAAACATTAAGAGCTTTAATTACACCATTATCTTATTTATTTTTATAAATAATTCCAAAGCAGTCATTAAAGTTTGTGAACTTACGAGTAAATGACTTTAGGGAAAGAAATCAAGTTCTCAATCTTGTTATTATCTATTGTACAGTCTCCCTGGGATGCTGTGGGAAAACTAGCTGGGTTGTTTGTGGTGGTGGTGTTGCTGTTAAGATGATTCATTTACACACACTGTAGTAAACATTCTGTTAAGCTCCTAGTTGAAAAGTCTGTCAGTGGGACAGCACTGCAGTGCGTCAAAGTAGGGCTGTATTTCCTTTCTTTCTCTGGATTCCCAGGGAAGTGCACTGGGAAAATGGAATGGAGCATTAAAACCCACAGGAGTGGGTACCTTGCCATTGTTCAAAAAGCCCTGAAGCTCTGCAAAGTGGCTCTATTCTGATTCCAGGTTTCTGCAGCTTCATGTTTTCATCACAAGGCTGCAAGTTTCTTCAAAAGGCAAGAAATTACAGGCTTGTCTGTGAAGGAGCTATGCTATGTCTAATATTATCAGTTTCCTTGACATTCCCCTCCCTTTTTCGGCACTTATTGAAAGTTTGGCTGCTATTGATGTTTTCAGTTACATTCAGAATGCTGTTATGTAGACCAAAACTGATGAATGCAACTGTTTTATGTGCCTCTTACACCAAAGCAAATTCTGTGGCAGTCGTGTCTGGTGTTTGGAGAAGTCTTTGCAATTATTAATACTGTAGTGGCTTGAAAAGGATTTGTACCAGCAGACAAAGAGAATAGGGAGACTGCAAGCAACAGGGACTCAGAAGGGAGGCTGCTGTGTGCGCAGAATTCTATCTTATGGCTTGTCTTTGCAGTTTCTGTTGTAGAATGACTGTGCTCTCAGGAAATTCCTGAATGAAATGGGAACTGCTCATGGTTTTTCCTGTGACTGAATTTTGGACAAGACAATAGAGTTAAACTAGAGCTGTTTCACTCTTGGAGGGGAGACGGGCAAAGTGACCCCATGTATATGTAACCCTTGTGCTTGTTCTTCCTGTAGAACCCTGACATCGTATTGGTGCACTACCTGAATGTACCTGCCATTGAGGACTGTGGAAAACCGTGTGGCCCAATCCTGTGTTCAATAAACACAGACAAGAAGGAGTGGGCAAAATGGACAAAAGAGGAACTCATTGGACAGCTCAAACCGATGTGTGAGTACTTAGCAATTTCCAGCCATCCTGAGCAGAAGGGAGCTGGGCTGCTGCAGGTTTCTGTGCAACCCCTAGAAGCAGTGGAAGCAGAGACGGGGTGTGTTTGGTCTGGGCACACCTACACAGCAAACATGCTGTGCACCCTGATGGGCCAGAGGACAGGTGCAGCTCATTTTCTCACTGTTAGTCTTGTTTGCAGAGACAACTGGTACCACAAGTTTGGGACCCAAAGAATGATTGGCAGACACTCCAAGTACATGTCCTGACCTTCAGCAGACTTTATCTGCAGGTTCTCTGAGAACTCATCACCATAGCATGCGAGGGCCAGCCAGACCCTTTCAAAAGCCCCTGGTCCATATACTGTCTCTGTACATTTGGCTATAAAATGCACTTGGTACTTTGCTTCTGTGCTGTCATGTTAGGGCACCTGGTCAATGCCCCTGAACCTTTGTAGGACACCCAACTTTCAGGTATCGCTCCCTAAGCTCTACTTGGACATGTTTAATAAAACTAAGGTGGGTTGCTTTGCATGCAAATTACTTTTATTGAATTGAGCTTAAATTTTATCAGCAAGGTGCTACACACAGAAGCATTTTTCTGTCTAGCAGCAAAGTGCTATTAAAACAAAATAAACCCCCACCCAAGTCTTCTGTTCTGAACACTGACAAAGTTAAATGTCTCGGCAATGTGATGGTATTGACTGCAGCACAGTGACACCAGTAATAAAGTCATACCGTGACCTCTTGCTTGCCTCCACCAGTCAATCTGGTCTGGAGCTAACTTTATCCTTGCAAAATCCATTCTTGAATTCTGCAATTTCTTCCTCCTTCCTACTAGAAATGACTGCTTGGGGGTGAGTATTAGTAACTAGTAGGGGTGCACCGATAGAGATTTTTGGGGCCAATACTGATAGCCTACTTTTAAGGAGGCATATTGGCTGATACTGATCCAATTTCTAATACAGCATGGAGAGCTGCAAAGCTGGTAAGTCTGTTGTGGTGGGAGGGGAGAGGGGAGGGAAGGAGAGTGTGGGGGCAGATCAAGAACCTCATGGTGAGGGAGGGAGTGGGGCTGGGTCAGGTGCTACCCAGCCAGGACAGGCTGGGGCGTGGATAGAGCTGTGGCTCGTCTGAGAGGCGTGGGAAGAGGGGAGTTGGCTCCCACTGAGTGTGCTCAGGGCGGGCAGTGGTGCTGGGAGCAGGGCAGAGGGGGGACGGGGCTGCAGCCACCCCAAAAATTCACCTGTAGTCCCCCCCAACCCTCCCCAAACTCTGCCCTGGGAACAGCTCGGCCCAGCCCCTGCAGTCAGAAAGAGCCCGCAATGGCATCCCGCCCCCCCATGCAGATCCGGGGGCACATGCCCCGCTACCCCCCCAGGCCTTCTCGGGGTATGCGCAGTGGTGGGAGCCAGCCCCTCCTCCCCCCATGTCCCCCAGATGAGCTGCGGCTCCATTCTGCACCCTCCCTGCCCCAGCAAGGCAGCACCTGCCCCAGCCCCCACTCCCTCATGCACTGCTGGGACCTTGATCTGCCCCTGGCACACCCCTTCCCTCCCCCTTC